CAAAGAAAACTTCGTTCTCTAGGCTAGTTTTGCTGGCACTAAAACATCTACAACTCTTACCTTAGACCTGTCCAGTGCAGCTTTTTGCTTTTCGATATTTTCTAGTATAAAACGCTGATCTTCCTTAAATACAGCTTTCTCAGCATTGAGACGGTTCCACTCCTCTCGGACTCGGTATTTGTCCTGAAATTATTCTTCGATGTCAGCGGGTTCCCCATGGTGAGCTTAAAGGAGCTCGAAAGTAATTTAGCGGTACCTGTTCCATAACTGTCTCTTGTCCTTTGCACAGCTCATTTAGCTTAGCGTTTAACTCATAGACTTTTTTGCGCTCATCGTCAAATTGGGCCTTATCCTCGAGCAACCTTAATTCTAACTATTTGACGTTATGATTATGTCAGTAATCTTAATACCTTTGTTAGACTTTAGGCATTAGTACCTACCTTTGCTCGCGATTTTCCAATTGCAACTCTTTCAACTTCAGCGCTGTCTCCTTTTCAATTAGAGTACGTTCTGTCACGGTGGTGACATTGTCCGCAAGCTGATTTATAGTTGTAGAGAGACTGTCGACTTTATCCACCACGGTACTCACATCCCTATAAAGATTCGTTGCTCCCGTTGAACAAAAATTTGCTTTCCGTTTTGAGCTTAGTCAAATTTCGGATGGAGGAAGGCAAAGTAGAAGTGAGCAATACCTCCACTGGCTAGCTGATTGCTGGATGGTTTCCAATTGACGATCATAAGTGGTTTTTAACCTTTCAAGCTCTTCACTATGTTCGCTGTCTAGTTTGGAGAGCTGTTTTCTGAAATAAAGAGCTATGCACAAGATCAGCTGGAAACGTTTTGCTTTTTACACTCTTGTGGCATAAAAATACAAAACAACTAAAAGTTATAAGAGAACAGAACGGAAGGAATAAGTATCATGTACCTTAGTTAGAAACCTGAAGTAAACGCTAACTTTTATCACTTTTTGACTCCTACTAAATCAATAATAAACTTGAAACAGGGAAAACAGTTGTGCTGCGATGGCTTTTTTCAAAGATAAGGTACCACTTTCTTTACAAATTATTTACTTAGTAGTGGAACCACTTCCATAAGTCTGCTGCAGTTCATTTTTGGACGTCGAAAAATTTTATATATTATTATTATTTATCCTATTTTTAAACTCACTGATGAGCACTTTGCAAATCGTTTAGTTCGTCTTGACGTTCGCGATCTTTCTTTGCTAGCTTCTCCTTCCACAGTCTTTCAAGATCTTGCTCATCCTCTTTTTTACGTCTTTTAAGCTCTTCTATCTCTCGATTTAAGCGCTCCACCTCATTTTCCAATCTACAACAGAGAGATAAGTTTTCTAATTTTTTTGCTAAACAGCGTTAACCTTCTGGTCCTCAATGTATCTTCAGGTGCAGCAACAGCAGCAGATTGAGGGGCTTGAATTGGAGCAATTTCTGTTGACGCAGGCGCAGTTTTCGTTTCCTTCTCACGGCGACTTGGCCCCAGAAGGTTTCCTAGTGACGTGGATCCGCTTTGAAGCCGCGAAGGTCTACTCCTGAAAGATTGTTTTAAACTGCAATGTTTTGCCATTACATGTGGGAACATACGTTGTTGCTTGCGAAGTACTTGTACTCGCAGCAGCCGACTTCTG